AATAATAGAATGGGATAGTACAAAGCATAATACTACTATAAAATAATAATGTAATGCTAATATCATCATATAAGACTGTCACCCCTACATAATACTCCAGTCTGTTCTATATATCGGCCTCTCAACTGAGCTGCCTTATCCACAAACTTGGCAGTCCTACTCACAATAAAGATATTTGTGCCTGAAAGAAAATAGGATAATCTCTGTGTGGAGTCCCAATGGAGCCACTCCAATTTCTATTTTTCTTCTCTCTCTCATACACAGGGAAATACATGGGCATAAAAGCTGAGTTCAGACATCATTGCTAAGCCAAAACCAAATCACATTATGGCTTTGTTTGATACTGGAGCCCAGCACTTGTGGCTTTTAAATTGATTTATGCCTTAGCATGGTTTGTGAACCTAACCAGTTGTAATTTATTAAAGTATGGGTAAGCAAACCCTAGCTTAGCATAATATACCAGTAACATTTTGTTTTTTGGGTTTTTTTTTTCCATATGTCCAATGGCTGGTCAGAATCCTATGTATGTTTCTTTACTTTGGCTCAGATCTTTTTTTTCTGCTGGAACTTTTTCAATAAGGTATGCACAGGGTATCAAATCCCTTCATTTGATTTATATGGGAATGGTACGCCCTAATCAAACTAATAGAAAATTTGTCAATGTGGGCCACAGTGACAGAGATCAAGAACCTTGTTGCTGAACCAAGACCAGGGAAGGCCCCAGGAGAAGACCTAATCCCTTCAGAGGCCATTAAAAACAACTAGGGCTTCTGGGTCCCCACTCTGGCCTCACTCTTCGCCTGCATCAACACCTATGGCTGAGTCCCCAAGGACTGGGGGCTTGCAATCATTGTCCCTATAGGGAAAAATGATGAGCCTGCTAATTATAGACTGATCAGCCTCCTCAATGCTATCAGCAAACTATGCAAGACATCTGCAGTGGAAATTCCAGGACTGGCTGGAACAAGAAAACATACTTGCAGAGGAGCCAGCTGGTTTTAGGGAAGGCCGATCCACTATTGATCAGTGCCCAGTATTAAAACATCTCATTGAAAAATACTCCTTCCGCAACACAACCTCTCTCAATCCATGTGGAAACAGGCAGTGGCAACTAAAATCTCATCCTTGGGCTACTCTCCAGGTCTTCTACTCAGCATGGATTATGATCAGGCCAAACCACTCATTAAACAGCGTGTAGCAGATGCAGAGCACCAATTGTATCTAGCCGGGTCCCCAACCTTTATTGCCGGTGAATCCAACAGGTGCTCTGCCTCCCCTATACCTAACTAAACTCGAAGTATCTAACCACCGGAGGACCTTTACTCTGGCATGATGACGTGCTGTCCCCCTTAGCTGTCCTTGAAGGCCGATACAGGAAGATTCCTTACCTGGAGAGTCAATGCCCCTGTGACTCTGGCCACATGGAAACAACAGAGCATGTGCTTCTCCAGTGCCTGTATTACAGAGACATTCGTACCAGCTTCATCTCACCATTACTGCATAAATACAGGGCGCACAGGACCATCCTACACCTCTCTGCTGCTTTCAGATACCAACCCTGCTACAACTTATAATGTTGCCAGGTTCTACGCAGCAGCAATTAAAATACATCAGATGACTACCTGTTCCATAAACTAGACTTAATGAGCATATAGTCTGTCATACTAGAGCGCTCTGTAATTTGATAGATATAATCTGCCATTTACTAACTTTTATGTTCCCCTACACCCATGTAATGCCCCTACCCCCTCTCTATTTAGATCCTTTTAGACTCTTGTTTTTTATATATATTTTCTGTTTTATATCCTTTACCTTTTCAAAACTCTTTTTTTTGTTTATAAACTCCAATGTATCTTTTATGCTTTTTAATTGACTGTACCCCACCCTCCTTATGCTGGTCTATGACCATAATAAAGATTTGACTGATTGAGTTCCTGTTTGTTCATCGGGGCATTTAAAAGTAGCTTTTAGTATGACCTTTAAATATTGGATAGAAAATGAACCATCCGGACAATTACACTGTTTTCCCTGTAGTCTTTTGATATGTCTTCTACATCCTATTCATTCCATCTCCCATTCATCTCAGATATTTTTCTCCTCTAACCAGCTTAATGTTTTCATGGGGTGACTTTGGCCAACCCTCAAAGTAAATCAAACTGTTGCTGGTCATTGAAGGAAAAACCATTCTTTTCTGGTATCTTCAAATGTAGCTCAGCTAACCTGCTCCTAATTAACACTGGATCCCAAATGACTAATCAACTGAAGCTTTAGTAATCAACAAATGGATTAACTTTGCAATTCTAAAACAACTATAACTTCAATTTTTAGTACTTCAAAAAATAATTCTTTGGAGAGGAATACCAGCTTGTTTCATTAAACCATTTAATTTTTGATTAAGTGAAATGTAACCATTGTGATTAATTAGTAATCATGGCAAGTCTAATATTTCAAACAGAAAATTCTTAACTAAACCTGCAGATGGAGCTAAATGAAAGGGAAAAAACTGTAAGAACTGAGAGGTAGAAGACAACTTAATTTTAAAGGAGATAAGACACAATTCTTTACAGTATATTATCTTTCTAAATTTCAAGGATCAGAGTATCAAAGGAAGTAGATAAGCAATAAGAATACTCATAATTTATCTCAACTGCAGTGATTTTTTAAAATACATATTTTTAGGAGGCCTTTCCAATATTCCACAACTCCATTCCTCAGAAATGGCTTTACTTTATAGGAGATATTCTAGGATGTTTAAGGACACACAGCCAATATACAAGCATGCAAACTTACAGCAAGGTGATGAACCTATGATCTTCAAATGTTAATGAAATATAACTCCCAACACCCTTCACTGATGGCCATGTTGATTTGGGTTTGGAGCAACACCTGAAGGACATGTCTTTCCATTAATGCCCTCCCTCTCTCAGATTCTTGTCCTGGAACTCTCATTTTTTGAACACACTTCTGGAAAGGGAGATAACTACAAGTAATTAGATGAAAAGTTTCAGTTAAAAAGAGGACTTAAAAAATAATTGATACATTTCCAGCATTCCTCCATTGCCATCTACTGGGAAGTGGGACAAGGTGTTTCCCTACAATAATTAATTTCATTGAGAAATCCCAGAATCCCCTAAAATATAGTTGGAAAACTTCTTCTCTGCAAAAGTGAAACATGGCTTCACCAAACTGGATTTCACCGCATGATCCAATATGCACATTAATATCTTCAGCAAAAGATGGTTTTCGTGAAGAACAGATAAGCTTTTAATTCAACATCAGTTTAACAATCATAATCTTAAAAGTAGTTGCAAAGGAAAGAGTCTTTAGTTACCCTTCTTCCAGCCACTTAAATCTTTGCATGTGAATATATGCTCAGTTCTGAAGAATACAGTCACAGGAATAGTGCCTTGTCCCTCCTCGCTGCAATAAATATGGTTTATTCTTCTCAGTGTTGCGACCATTCCAACCGAATCCATGATGGTGACTTCCTCTCAGTTTTCTGCCAGACTGGCTTTTGCCTTTACCTGGTGTCGTTACCATACTGCTTGCTTATCACATCAAAATTGTGATTTCTGCCTATACTTTTTGGAAATGTACTGTCTCTCTTAGAAATACATTATTAATACAAGTGGCAAGCATCACAATTTTTTGTTACCAATGTATTGTCACCCCTAATTGGACTGTTCCTATTCAAGCTCCAACTGTGTTATTGTGTCCCTTTTCACAATACTATTAGCTTTTAGAAGTTGAGGGCCAATTATTTTCTCCTATCTTTTCCATTTTCCTTTCTGACATAGCAAACTGTGCTGTCTGTCAGGAGCTGGTTTTTAACACCTTTATTTATAGGGTTATTTCTTTAGGTAAATTAAAAAGCTCATACAATAACAAGAACATTTCTGAACAGTTTGCACAAATTAATGCAGAACTAGCTGGGAGAAGATATAGATGCTAAAATACCGAAGGTAATCTAAAATACTAGAAAGCTAAATTAATTGCT